TTCTCTTAAGGACCGCATGTTTCACTTAACAACTGCAATGATTTGTTTAACAACTGTGGCAATAGGTCATAAAATGGGGGAAAACTCACTTAACAACTGCCTTGCTTGGCAATGAAAATGTTGGACTCTATTGTGGTTGTAAGTCAAGGACTACCCATATTTACTCCAATGAGACCCTTTTCATCCATTTTGGTCTCAAACTGCATCTTGCTTCATCATCATCACTGCAGTAACACAACGCAGGGTCTTAGTAGCTGTGGCACCCAGCCTCTCTGCCACGGGAGGCAGACAAGCTTATCAAGTTCCTTCCTTACTGATCTTCAAATGGTTAAAAGGAACCACCTTCAATATTGGTTAATTGACACCTACCTTTGTTGCAATTCCTGGCCTATTTCTCAATTCTTGTTTTATCTTCAATTCATCCTTTCTGTGGTTCTCTGTTTTTAATGCCTATTTACTCCTTCCCTGGAACTGCCCCACAGTCAAGGGTGGAGGACTGCCTGTTCTGGGTCAGAATATGTGCTGTACTGTACCTTTTAAATGTTTCTGTCCATGTTTGACTGCCAAAGAATAAAGAGGTCCAGAAGACCTGGCATTCCTTTGGACATAGTGTGCACAACACCCTATGCCAGTGTTTCCCAACTTTGCTATTTTAAGATGTGACAGTTTCAACTCTTTATTAAATTGGTGGAGCTTGAAAAACAGATTTACAAACCATGGTAAATCACATGGTAGGTTTGTACAACTCACTGAGCCAGCATCAAGAAAGCCATGTCTTAATGCTGTGTGTGCACGTGCATATGCTCCTGTGGCGAGGGGGCAGGCACGTCCAGCCTATAGGTGTGCAGAAATTCTGGAAAATGCATTCAGCATCTTTCTGTATACCCAGTTTGCTTTCCCCTTAGCTATTTCATCTGAAAGTTCCCATTTTCCTAGTCTGCTTCTTCTCAACTCTGTCTACCGTGTCAATTGGAAATAAAGAGAAAGATAAATATAGCTTTCAAATGCTCCAAAAAAGCAATTTGTATGATGATCGTTTATTGAATCCCTCTTACTGTCTTATATTTATTTATTGGTATGTTGATTACTGTACATTGCAGATGGTGCGGCTTGGCTCCTGCGTGTCTGGTTATTTTTATTTTGGCACAGCCTGTTATCAGACATCCATTCCACTGATGTGTTACTCCATTAGTGCTGGTTGCAATTTTACTCCACCAGTTGTAGCAAAGGGCTGATGTAGCAATTTCTCCTTCTAGTGGTCATTTTAATCATCAGTAGCTTGTGTGTCAAACTCAAGCACTTTGAAAAGGCTGATGTATTCAACAAAAGGTTATATTTAAAAAATATCTCAGGAGAGAAAAATGTATTAAATCTCTTTGGAAGCAAGCATTAATAGCCAGCACTGTTATTTGAGAATAAGTACTGAATGTTAGAGTTGGGCACTTCAGATAAGGTTCCGGAGATATGCTTTTGAATGTGTGGGAATATCCACACAGCACTTCTTAGAGTCAATGTTTTTTTTCCTCAGGAATCTATGTGAACCTAGAAGAAGATGGAGCTACTTTAAAGAGCTGGCTCATTAAAGCAACCATGTCCCCGTTGTGAAATGTGGATTTCCAGAAGGGAGGGGCTGCATTCCAGAGGACCAAGAGACAGCAAAGTTTAAATAGTTTGATTGGGAGAAAAAGTTAAAATAGGTCCTCCTAGCAATTCTTAATGATGCAAATGGTTTGGCAAGATTTCTGTCTATGGCTGAGGAGCAATAAGGGAAACTGCTCAAAAGTAACTATCTTTCTTGACTTCTGGAATCTGACACATACTTCCCAGATTTTGCAGACGCTTGAAAAAGATGCAGCTGCTTTAAAAAGGGTGGTGTGCTTGCACTCTTGTGCATTTCAAAGTCTCTGTTCCAAATCCTTTTTCTGAAGAATACATCATAATTCAGCTATACCTGGTCAGGGAAATTGATTTATGATTAACTCTTCTCCTGTCCTTTAGAGTCACAGTGGCAAGCTGAAGCTCCTCTCTTGGGCCCATGATTGTGACTGGGTCACATCCCTTCTGCCATCACTAGAAGTAATCCTCCAATTATGATCCCAATTGGGACCAGAATTTCTGTTGTTAAGCAAGCTGATTATTAAGTGAGTCACACCCAATTTTTGCAAGCTTTCTGGCCACCGTTATTAAGCAAATCACTGCAGTTGTTAAGTAAATCTGGCTTTCCTCATTGACTTTGCTTGTCAGAAGCTATCTCGGAAGGTCACGCAAAGTGATCGCATGACCCCCAGGATGCTGCAAGGGTTTGCAAATATACATGCCAGTTACCAAGTGCCCAAATTTTGATCACATTATAGTCATAACTGCAAAGACCAGTCGTGGTGTTTTTTCAGTGCTGTTGTAATTTCAAACAGACGCTAAATGAATATATCAGTGATGGCGAACCTTTTAAAGACCGAGTGCCCAAAAACTGGCCCTGCCTCCGCTCCACCCCCTGCCCCACCCCCGCTCTGCCTCCCCATCCCCCACCCCGCCTGCCCACAGGACCCCTCACTGCCTCCAAGACCCACCACAGATCGCCCAGGCAGCCCACCAGTGCTATAGCGGCCACCCCTCTGCCCATGCCCTGCAGGATCAACTGTGCATGATGGGGCGTGAGGGCAGTCTTGTCTATGCTGCCTGGCTGCCATGTCCTTGGCTGCACTGCTCCGTGTGGGCCACGCTCAGGGGTGACTCTCCTTCAGGGGGGCTGCTGGAGAGGAAGGGATCACGGGGGGAAGCAAGGCTGGGGCAACGGCACGTGTGCCCACAGAGAGGGCTCTAAGTGCCGCATCTGGCACCAGTACCATAGGTTCACCACCACTGACCTATATCTACAAAACAAGTAAAAACAACCAACCAACTATAAAATGTTGTCCTTTCTTCTTGGCTTGCCATGTCCTCCGGTGGTGCATTGAGGGGTCATTTCCATTCACACAACATAAGTTCTTCTTTCTTGCTTTTCAGTTCCTCTTTCGCATGAGATCTCAACCCAACTCCATTCTTGTCTGTATGTTTTGCCTTTGTTTCCCCCTCTTCCGTGCTCTTTTCCAATTCTTCTTTTTTTACTCCCTTGCATTCCTGGCAAGACTTCACTCCTTTAAAGGCAGGATTACAGTAGATCCACATTTAAAAGACAGCACAAATCTGGGATATAACTCAGGTCTCAGACAGTAAAGATCCTGTGATCTATTTCCACAGGGAGCAACAATGCTACACCCATCTTTATGTAGTCTGAAAGCCTTCCACTTCTTAAATATACTTAAGTAAACCCCATTACATATTTGGGGCTTTTTTTAAAAAAAAAACTTTGTAGAAGCAGCCTCTTTTCCATGGGAACATCTAAAATAAGAAGTGTCCTCCTCAACAATCTGGTGAGCATTTTCATGATTTTGGCCCAAACTGCTGTTGCTACATTTTTAAAGCTTTGTTTTAACTCTTTAAAACAAAATTCCTTTTTGGATTACTTGCCCAAACTTACTTATTCCACTTAGCAGATGGGAAGACAGACTGATATTTTCTCTTTGCAAAGCTTCTTTTCCTAGGAGCGTGGCAGGAACGGAGAATGGAGAATGACTGCTGCTTGAATTCCTTTTCATTTGATTTTTATCCTGCCTTTTCATTGGTTTGTATAAACAAACTCTTCCTGTTTTCCTCACAACAACCCTGTAAGATAATTGAGCTGAGAGTGACTGACCCAAAGTTTCCCCAACCCGTTTTCAGGCCTAAGGAAGAAGTACCTAGTGCTCACTGTCAGCCGGTTTTTGTGCCTAAGGCAGGTCTAGAATTCACCGTCTCCTGATGATTGGCTCAAAGTCACCCAGCTGCTTTCATGTCTAAGATAGGGATAGAATTCATTGTTTCCTGGCGATCGTCTCAAAGTCATTCAGCTGTTTTTTCATGCCTAAGATGGGACCAGAACTCACCATCTCCTGGTGACTGGTTCAAAGTCACCCAGTCAGCTTTCATGTGTAAGGGGGAGACTAGAATTCACATTCTTCTGGTTTCTAGGCCAACAGCTTAATCACTTCACCAAACTGGCTCCCTTTTGAGGTAGGAAGAGGTGTTAAGACCATTTTCATTGATATCTTCATAATAACTCACAACTACTCGGCAAATACTACTCCTACAGAGACAATACAATAAAGCAAAGACGTTTGCTAAATTCCAAAACAGAGAGGCCAATTCAAAATGAAGACTTGTTGGATAGCAGTGGCACAATAAACAACATGGAAGCTAAATATTGCATTGGCAAGAGGGTGGATAGGGGGCAATGTTGAAAAGAATATTTTTTAAAAGTTTGCCAGTATCTGGTCTGCTTGTGATCACAAATGAAAAGTCAACATAAATCTTACCAGAGCTTAAGACAGGCAAAATAGGAAAGAGGCATGTTTACTTTCAAGGGAGATTTTAGTTACTGGTACGTGAGTGGAACACCAACAAGGCAGATTCTGGATCTGCCTCTATAGAAGTATTCCAGGTGGTCCTCAACTTACAACCACAATTGGAATCAAAATTTATGTTGCTAAGCAAAGAGGTTACATCCACAATTATGACCTTTTTTCGCCACAGTTGTTAAGCAAATCATATGATCATTGAGAAGTCTGGCTTTCCCCATTGACTTTGCTTGTTGGAAGCTGCCTAATGATTCTCTGTCACCCATATCATGGTTGTCCCAAATATGTTTTTCCAAAAAGGCAACTGCGTTTCTTCATTTTTTTTTCCTTGAAAACATTTTGCTTCCCATCCAGGAAGCTTCTTCAGTTCTTCAGAAGTTTCTTGGACGAGAAGTGAAATGTTTTCAAAGAAAAAAAAACCCCCGAGAAAGTCCAGTTGCCTTTTGGAAAAGCATCTTTTGGACATGCTGAGCAAAGTGTTGAAAATTTTAAAAAAACTGGACGATTTGCTTCATTTGAAGGTGGAGGTGGACTAACCTGCTCTGTTTTGTTGTATCTCATTTTTAGCTTCTGGGCTTTCCTCTTCACCATCAACTCCCACCCAGGGAGCCAAGCAGCCGGCATTTCCGCTTGAATGCTACAGACAGGAACCAGAGAGGCCGGAGACGCGGATTCACCCACCCTCTTCTCCTCCAGATACTGGCCAAATGTTTAGCCTGCCTCCAGGGCAGGGTACTGCCAAGCCGCCCTCTCCAACACCTGTCTGTTGTGTTACCTCAAAAGGAGTAAGTACAGCCTCTGAAAATTTAAAAAAATAAATACATCGGAAGACCTGTAGCGTGGGACTGATACAGTGCTTGTGAGCATCCAAGCATTTGTCACACATTGTCTACTATGGAGAGAAATATTATTGCCCCTAGTTTGCACAAACAAGAGGGGAAACTCAGGCTGAGGATCCATTTTTTGCTTGCTGATGGATGCCATAGATAGAACTAAATATCCATTTTGACTTCAGAGTCTTTTGAGTGGAACCCACTGGGTGTCTACTTGAAAACAAGCTCCATTGAAATGTAAAAATAACCACGCAGAGGATTTCTGTGAAGTCCTTGGTATTCTCTGAGTTTAGTTATTTGCTTACAGACATTTCGTTACCCAACTATTACATCAGTATTAGTGAGTGTGGGATTTAATCCATGATGATATTCCCTAGATGGGTAATGAAATATCTGCAAGCAAACAACTAATCTTAGAAAACACTGAGGACTCCACAGTTCAACCCTGAGCTAGAAATATTCTATTGTAGAAGATTTCCTTACTTGTCCTGGCTTCACGCTACAGAAGATGGAAGACGTAGTTTTGCTGCAGATTTAACATTAGTTTATTTTTACAAAATGCTTGCCCATGAGTAACTGAACTTCTGCGTGATCACTTAACATTATGATCTTATTTGATGATCCAGCAGTCACAAATTAACCACAGATTTGTTAGTTTCCCAATAAACTAACCCTGTGATTGGTTAGATTGTAATTTAATGGGTCTGGTGAATGTTGATTGTGTGAATGAATGTATAGATTAATCCTTGACTTACAACCATAATTAAGCCCAACATTAAGCGAGACAGTTGTTAAGTGAATTTTGCCCCATTTTACAACCTTTCTTGCCACAGTTGTTAAGTGAACCATTGCGGTTGTTAAGTTAATAACACAGATAAGGGAATCTGGCTTTCCCATTGACTTTGCTTGTCAGAAGTTCACAAATGATGATCACATGACTCCAGTACACTGCAATCATCATGAGTCAATTGCTAAGGGTCTGAATTTTGATCACATGATCAAGGAGATGCTGCAATGATCATAAGTGAGAAAAACTGTCATAAAACATAACTTGGAACATCCTTAAATGAACTGTTGTAAGTCGAAGACTATCTGTATGTAAAATGATGGCACTTGAGAACCACAGGTCACGGATATTTGGAATTTAGGCATATAGCTAAGTGGGTTGAAAAAGAATATATCCATATTTACATTTCAGTTACAGGTAGTCTTCAACTTTCAACTGAGCCCAAAATTCTGTTGCTAAGCAAAGTATTTGTTAAGTGAATTGCGCCTCATTTTATGACCTTTTTTCCACAATTAAGAGAATCACTTCGATTGTTAGGTGAATCATGTGGCCATTAAGCAAATCTGTTTTCCCCCCCATTCCTCCAGTTGTTGGAAGCCAACTAGAAAGTTACCAAATGGTGAACACATGACCCCAGGATAGTGCAGCCATCATAAATATATGGCAGTTGCCAAGTGCCCAAATTTTGATCATGTGACCATGGAGATTCTGCAACGATCATATCACTTTTTTCAATGCTCTTGTAAGTTCGAACAGTCACTAAACAAGTGCTTGTAAGTTGCGGACTACCTGTAATTCTAGTACACTGATTCCAATACAGTACTGTGTTTCATTATCAAATCACAGTGCACTGATGATGTTACTTAGTTGGGTAATGAAACATCTGCAAGAAAACCACCAAGCTCAGAAAGTACCAAAGATCCCTCATTTCAACCTGAGCTATAGATATTGTCCTTTATTAGTACTGTTCTTTCCTCGAATACTGATATGATGAAATGATAGTTTATTGTTCTGTTCAATTATAACCTATGAGAAAGGAAAACAGATAGGCAGAAGGTTGCATTTTCCACAGAATATGATCAAAAAGGTCAATATGGTAGCTATGAGGGTGCAATGGAAGGCTTGCTCATTTTTTTAAGTGCATTGCACGAAGCCCTTTTGTGTACAGCCCAGGATTTGTAAGAAGCGATTTCTTACCTGTAGAATTCCATCTTCCTCTGATTCCATAACTTGTATTTTCTCAGTTGCCTAAGATTGCTAATGTGTCTCTTAACAAGAGACCCTGTCTGACTCTAACACATTGCAAAATGTTTTGCAGTGTTTATTCAATGTTTTCTCAACACTGGCAACTTTGAGATGTGTAGACTTCAATTCTGAGAGTTGAAGTCCACAGATCTTAAATCTCCCATGGTTGAGAAAACACTTTTTTATGTTAACAACTTAATTCCTTCAAAGAGAAAAGCTTTTCTCTCCTGTAGACTAAGGGTGCTGCTAAATTTGACTCTTTACCTTTAAGTCCACCAAGGAAATGGGATTTTTAGCAGCTATAAAATGGGCTCAATTTCCCTTTCCCCTCTCCCTTTGGAGAACACTCAAAATGGGTGCAGTATGGTCATGGATGAAAAGGAAAAAATCAGCCAAGGGTATATCATTAGAGATACAGGTAAAAATTTTGATTTATGCATATCCCCAAAAACGCAAGGACTTCAATGTTCTTGAATTAAGCTTCTTCATTCATCAATGACTAAGTTTTTTAGACTACATCAGGCTAAAACAGGATTGTTTTCTTTGGGTTTATGAACTATGTGAATGGGACCATTGCTATTACTTTGTGCTTTAGTATGTTACTCATGTCCTTAAACCTAAGTTAGCATGGTGTGTGTACACATAAGCATTGTAAGTAGTCCTCGTCATACAACTATAATAGAGTCTGTCCCTTGTAGTTGTACGTCATGGTAGTAAAATGGGTTGGTCATGTGAATTTTTTTGTGGTGGTTGTTAAGCAAATACTGTGGTTGTTAATCAAATGAATGAGAGTGGTTTTGTCAAAAGTGAAGTACAGTTTTTTGGCAAAGCCATCATAAAACATGGTCATGTGATTGTGGTATTTTGCAAACAGCTATAAATGTGGCTGTGTTGCTGAGCGCCCAAAGTTTGGTCATGTGGAGGGACCCCAACCATCATAACTTCCAATCCTAGTCACGACTTTCCTTTTGGGGGATTGTTCGTAAGTTGAGTACTACCTATATCTAATGTTCATGTACCTCTCATAGATAGTCCCATTAAAATTACAAACTGCCAGATTGTTTCAACTTTTCTGGTTTCCTTGTAGTAATTCTTGAGCTACGATATTCCACCCTTGCACAACATTTTTTCTACCTCAATTAAATTAACCATAGTTTGTTTATTTAACAATCTGCTGAATTTGCAGGAGTCTCTGTATATAAACTAGCTGCACCAACAGGGTTTCTTAACATATTAGGTTGAAATCTCAGTGGCTCAGTGGGTCAGTTCCTTGTATGAATATTGTTATAGTGTTTAGCCCATGCCCTGTGTGAAATAAAAAGCTAGAATTAAGTTTTGTAAGTTCACTGTAATGTCCACATAGCCTGGATTTGCATGCTAAAATAACCCTGCGTTTGGAATGGTCTTGTATTCCTTCCTTCCCCTCCACCTTTAACCAGCCTTCGGAGAACGAAGACTAACATTATAAAAATTAAGAGCATTAATGATTCTTATTCAACTGAGAATACAGAGGTTGCATTAAAAGAATTTAGCAATGAGATTGCAAGCTTTTCTTGGGGGTAGGCAAATCCCGGCCTTATTGGGGCTGCAGAAATCCAGATCACCATTAAGATGCCTGTAGACCACTAGATTGACCAAATTCTTCCATGCCATAATAAGGCTGAAAGAAAACAAATAAGGGGTTTATAGTCCGAATGGCCCTCTCTCTCTTTTCCCTAGGATGGTTGATTCTTCTACAAAAATAGGTATATGTAAATATTATTTGTTCCCAAGGTCCAAAGACTTTCTTAGTTCCAAAAGTTCTAAGTGGCTGTTATGAAAACAGTGAAGTTCCCTCCCAAATCTGAGGTGTGTGTGTGGGGGTGTCTTTTCACTGGCCTTCAGGACTGCAAACAGCGTCTACAGCTGCAAGCACCCTGCAGGGTCTTTTCTGGGCACAGAAACCTCTGAGAAATTCTCTAACTAAGCAAATGGCTGTTGTTTTTTTAACCTGCCCTTTAGCCAAGGGGTGGTAAATTGCTCGGTCTGACTGTTCAATTAGCCTGCCTTATGAATAGCCCATCACTTCCTCTGAATTTCTGAAAATAGCAAAGGAAGAAAAGTGCAGTTGGTTTTTCTCAGAGCGGCGTTCCTTCCTTCCCACAAAATAAACACATTTCTCTGCCTTTGCACCTTGTAGAGCTCTCTCATTTGTGCCGCAGAGTAAGGGTGAGAAAACATGGTGAAGGTTAAATATGAAAGGGATTGTCTCTTACTTCCTAATTTTTGATGCTTTTTTATGTGATGGCATAATACAAGTTTCCCCCTAAATCTGCTGCCCAATAAAACAGTTGCCTCTACTCCTGAGAGAAGCAAAAATTGTATTTTAAAGAAAAGAGGCTGGAGGGTTGATTTTTGAGGTTTATAGTACTCATCCAGCGACTTATGCAGATATTTTTTGTGATTCAGCCGTGGTATATTTTATGCTCTGGTGAAAATTACATTAAAAAGGGGAGATTTATTAATAACTGTACGCTGGAATTTCATGACTCTACTATTGTGGTTTTCAACCTTGGCAACATTAAGATGTGTGAACTTCAACTCCCAGAATTCTCCAGTGTGTATGGACCAATTCCCAACTGTTACGCTGGCTGGGGAATTCTGAAAGTTGAAGTCCACAGATCTTAAAGTCACCAAAGTAGAAAAACACTTTTGTAAACCATCTTCTCAGTGGTTTATTGAGCAAACCATAAATGGTACTCATCCATTATAGTGAGCCCTAAAATATAATTTATAAGCCATCGTGGCAAGTTCCTAGAAATATAGTAAGCTGAAAGCCAGCAAACTACAGAGGAGAAAAGAAAAGAATTTGGATTATTTAGCCAATCATTCAATAAAATAATAATTAAAAACCCACCTTGTAAGCCACCCAGAATCCCTTGAAGCATGTAGCACATAGATTATAGATTTTAGTAAGTTAGTTAATTGTGATTAATTAGATTAATGGGAGCTTTTATAGCTAAGTCTGAACTAGAACTCAGTCTCCTAGTTTCTAGCCTGATGCCTGAATCACTAAATAAAATTTGTTGGCTTATTTGCTAACCATTGACTAAATGCTGTTCTTTTCTACCTGATCTTACAGGCTATGTATATAATAAGTACCCGTATATACTCGAGTATAGGTCGACCCGAATATAAGCCGAGGGACCGATTTTCCCACAAAGAACTGGGAAAAATTGGTGACCCGCGTATAAGCCGAGGGGGCATTTTGCCTGTTCCTCCCTGGCCGTCTCGGCCTCCCTAGCCCTGTCGGTGAGCGCCCGTCAGGGCGCAGCGTCGCCAGGCCTCCCCCCTTCGCGCGAGGCGTCTGGCGTTCCCCCTCGCGCTTGGCTGCGGCGGCCCGGGGTATTCCGTCCCAGCCTCGACACGCAGCGCCGCAGGGAACGGAAGGTAAGGGGGGAGGGCCGTACCTGGAGCATCACAGGCCGGGGCGACGCCGGGAACGANGCAGGAACACGCTGGCCCAGCTCATTGCCGCTGCAGCCACCGCCGCCAGGCAAGCAGGCGGAGCGCAGCGCCAGGGGAGGGGGAGCGAGCGGCCGGCGCCGGCACCGGGCAAGCAGGCGGAGCGCAGCGCCAGGGGAGGGGGAGCGAGTGGCGAGCCGCCGCCGGTGCCGGGCAAGCAGGCGGAGCGCAGCGCCAGGGGAGGGGGAGCGAGCGGCGAGCCGCCAGCGCCGGGCAAGCCGGCGGAGCACAGCGCCAGGGGAGGGGGAGCGAGCGGCGAGCCGCCGGCGGGCAAGCAGGCGGAGCGCAGCGCCAGGGGAGGGGGAGCGAGCGGCGAGCCGCCGTGGCTTGCCCAGTGGCGGCAGCGGCAGCAGCAGCTGCTTCGAGACGCTGACTCGAGTATAAGCCGAGGGGGGCATTTTTCAGCCCCAAAAATGGGCTGAAAAACTCGGCTTATACTCGAGTATATACGGTATATATGTATGTACAGTATGCATGTACCTCATTTCATCAGTATAGCCTGAGATATGTTTCTGTGTGCACATGCTCACATTCACATACTTTCACAGAGGTTGTCCCATTCCAGGAGGATGAAGACTCATTGATTCTCCAGCACTTGGAGATGGAGACTCCACCATTGGGTAGTAGACTGTATTCCTGCCCAATCAGATCAAGTCAGCCAAAGTTGCCATGCCCGTCCTGGACCTTAGACTCCAGTCTTTGACTTGATCTTGCCCAAGACAGACGTTGCAAGTTTGGCTCTAGGCAGGTATTATTTCTCAATGGTGGATTTTCCACTCCCTTTCCTTAATTGGATTTCCTTTTAAAATAAGTTTCTCCTTCCCTTCTCTTAGGGGTATTGAATCTGTAAAATTTGCCCTTTCAAGGAAGAGGTTCCTCCCTCTTTGTTTCTCCTCCCCCCCTCCAAATTCCCTACCGGGCCTTTCTAACGGAGGCTAACGGCTGTTAGCCTCGAAAAATTCACCCCTCACAGGAGTTCGCTGTTAGCATTGAGACGGACACTAAAATTACCGGTAGAAGACTAACGGCTGTTAGTTTTCAAATCCCTCAGAGCCGACTGAGCTTGCGGCTGCAGCTCCACAGACTGTTTGGGAGGTTGGGGAAGGCCCAGGAGTGGGGGTGCTTCTTCATTTCTTGCGATTCCTTCGGAAGGAGGCCAAAGGCAGTTGGTCTCCGGAGTCTTCTGTTTTACAGAGCTTGCGTTTGCAGCTCCGTGGATAGATTGGGTGCGCGAGGCAGCCGATCGCTGTTGTTTCGTTTTGCGGAGCTGCGGAGGCAGCCCGTGACCCGTTTTGTTGCTAGGCCTTCTTCTAGCGCTTGAGAGCAACTGGAGGTGCGCACGCGCGCGCGTGCAGCCTCTACTCCGATCGGCATCTAGCAGGCTGATCGGAGAACGAGGGAACGTTTTCTTTGCTGTTTTCCGTTCCTCGCTCGAGTTGCGGAGACACCAGGCAGTGAGTTCGTTTCTATTGCCTCATTGCGGGCAGAGTCGTGGAAGGTCGCCATTTTGGACCTCGCGGTCCCTGGTTATCGGCCGCGGCCGCCATTTTGGGCAGCATACATTTCAGCCAGGCCTTCACTCTGAGTTCCTTGAAGGGGAAAAATAAAATTGGTTAGTTGACCGAAAACCCTTTTTTGCATCTTTAACAGTATCTCCATCCCTTAATTCCAACAAGGGCTGGAGTAATCACAGGATTATTTAAATCAAGGCAGGCCACCATTTTATCTTAACGGCCGCCATTTTGTATATCCCTCCCTATATATCTGGTGAGCACCTGTTACTTCTCAATTATTCAATCAACCTTCAGTCTCAGTTAACTACTTCTTCTTTGGTTTGAAGTCTCCTGGTCCTTTAATTTGTTTTCTACAATTGGCACTGACTGGGATTCCAGGCAACCCCTACAGAGTGTCTGTTCTTATCCCAGCACTCAGGTACGAGTTCCAGGCGACCCCTATAGAGCGTCTGTCCTTACTCGTACATTAATATCACCCCTTGGATTCCAGGTGCCCCGTTAGAGTACCTGTCCTTATCCAACTGGGAATTGTATCTGGGTTACAGGCGTCCCTTGTAGTCCGTCTGTCCTTACCCAGATTTTGGCATTCTCCAGACGACAGGAGCCCCTTATTGTGTTCCATTGTCATCGGGGAATGGAGGAAGCTGTTTCTTCCTCATTGAGTGCCCAGCCATCCTCATCAGGTTTGCTCGGTCCGGAAGGCACTGGTAAAGCGACCCATAAGGGGCCGATCTACCTCCAAAACTACTAAACAATCTGATAAACAGGCTACCAGGAGACACCAAGCCTTGGGAAAAGGAGTTTTCCAGAGCGCAGAAGAGAGCCAGAATGGAGACATATGAGTCCACGGGATTAGTCCTCGACTTACCCCTTGGGGTATCAGCCTCACCTAGGGGTGTTTGGTCGGGTGGGGAGTCATTCCCTTCTACCACGCAGGGCAGAACAGAAGATGTTCATTTTGTTTCCCAGCCTTCCTTGCCAAGGACAGCGCAGGGGGTTCCGGAGGCCACGTTTACCCCTAATGCGGCGGGGTTTCGCCCGGCTGACCCAATTCCCTTCCCTTTGGAAGAGCGTCTGGCTCTATTACTCGCACAGGCGGTGGACCGTGCTCTGGATGCCAGAGCGCGGGCCGTTAGGCCACTTCCAACTCCTATCCCACGGCTAGAGGATGAGACCCATTATAATTCATCGTCTCCATCTGGGTCTTGTGTTTTGAGGATTCATACCTCATCCATCCCCCTCTTGAACAGGAGATCCAGTTGTCAGAGGAAGAAGAGGTCCCTCAACAGGTACCCTCGTTTGCTGGCTTATTTAACCCTGCTTTCTTTGTTTCCATACTGCGCAAGGCCACGTCCATGGCTCATCTGAGACAGGGTTCCTCAGCAGTAGAGGATCCCGCTCCGCCTGATGCGACGGCGGTTCCAGTTTACGTAGAACCGGTCGCGTCGCAACACCGTATCTCCTGTCCTTCTTTGTTCCTGAATGCTATCAAGAAACAGTGGTCATCCCCGGCTTCGATTCCCTTGCCAGGTACTACGGACAAAAAACTGTATAATGTGGCCAAGGAGCTGGAGGAGGCTCTGGAGGTTCCGGAGATGGACGAACCATTGGGAACCCTGGTATCAGCCACTGTCATAACCGGCGAATTTCAGAAGCCCTTAAGGCCGAGGATCGCAAGTGCGAATCCGGTTATAAGAGGACACGCCAGGCGACCGCCTGGGCGAACAGGGCCGCTACCTCCGCCTCCCATGACACTTCCTTACAGGCCGCCAGGTTTTCTTCCAGAGCTATGGCATCCAATATAACTGGGCGCCACAGGCTCTGGCTGAAACATTGGCAAGCGGACGCTAAGTCCAAATGGAAATTAGCAGCCGCTCCTTATCAGGGTTCTAAGTTGTTTGGGGATTCTCTGAATCCCTACTTAACGGAAAACAAAGATAAACACAAGGTCCTTAAAGACTTGCTTAAACGGCAAAACAAAGGTCTAGCTACTTCCCACGAAGGCAGTCCTTTCGTGGGGAGCGAGATAATTACACCCAACCTTTTCGCTCCTTTCCATCCAGGTAGGACAGGCAGGATAGACAACCTGATAGGCACAATCCTGAGCCCAGACAACAACCTCAAGGGAAACGGTCCTTTCGAGGGAACAACAGGCTTTTCGCTGTTCAAGGTGACTCATCGGCGACTCCTCCCATAGGGGGCAGACTTGCTCTGTTCGCCCACCAATGGGAGACGACCACCACAGATACGTGGGTGCTCGACACCATTCGCCATGATCTCAGATTGGAGTTCGTCTCCTACCCCCCAAATTGGTTCCTTTTCCTGTCCGCACCCCCGAAACCATACAAAACAAAGGCTGATGGACGATGCAGTCCAACACTTGTTACGCATACGAGCCATAGAGCCCGTACCACTGGGTCAGAGAGGTCAGGGATTTTACTCCATCCTCCTTGTGGTTCCGAAAACATCAGGAGGATGGAGGGCTATTCAAGATCTCAAACAAACTTGAATTTCCATATCGCTTATCACAAATTCATGATGCAAACGCTCCGTTCCATCTTGGGAAGCGTCAGGAAAGGGGACCCCCTGACGTCTATCGACCTCACGGAGGCGTACCTTCATATTCCTATCTCTCTGACCCATCGACGGTTTCTACGGTCGCGTACAAAGGAAGTCACCTCCAGTACAGGGCACTTCCATTTGATCTATCATCGGCTCCCAGGGTATTCACCAAGGTTCTGGCGGTCCTTGCAGCACACTTACGGTTGAGGCCAGTCAGAGTCCAGGGTTATCTGGACGATATTTTAATTCAGTCATCATCCACCCGGTCAGCCGTGGTGGATCTCGAACTGGGAATAAACCTGCTCCAGGACCACGGATTCGCGGTGAATTTCCCAAGAGCAACTTGGTGCCTACAACGAGGCTCTTGCACCTGGGGGGCCATTATAGACACGATGGAATGCCGGGTGAACCTGTCTCAAGATCGCAGAGACAGCATAAGGGAGTCGATCCTTCTGCTTCAGAGGAGTCGATTGGTAACACTGGGCAGTCTCTCCCAGCTGTTAGGGAAGTTGATCTCGGCCATAGCGATCGTCCCATGGTCCAGGCTCCACTCCAGGGAGCTACAATGGTTCTTGCGCCTTTTCAGAGGAGGAACTTCGGCGCCTCACGACACAGGGTAGTTCTTCCTCAAACGACTATTACGCTCCCTCAGGTGGTGGTTTTCTCCAGCCATACTCAGAGCGTTAGGTTTTAAGGAGCCGGACAGGATTGTACTCACGACCGATGCCAGTTTATTTAACTGGGGGGGCACATCTTCGGTCACATTGGGCACAGGGCCGTCGGTCAGCCCGGACCTGTGACACAATATATAAATTGGCTAGAGTTGAGGGCCATTCATCTAGCTCTTTGCCATTTTGTCACCTAGTGAGAGGGCGCCACGTGTTGGTCCTCACGGACAATGTGGCGGCCAAGGCCCATGTAAATCGCCAAGGGGGTACCCGGTCTCGAAGCCTGTTGTCCGAGGCTCCTTTACTGGGTGTGTGGGCGGAACGTAATCTGGCCTCCATCAAGGCCGATCATATATCAGGGGTCGCGAACACACAGGCCGACATTCTGAGCAGATCTACAATAGACCACTTGGAGTGGCGTCTACACTCAAGGATCTTCCAAGAGATCTGTCACCGCTTCGGTCTTCCTCTAGTGGACCTCTTCGCGTCCCCATCAAATGCACAGCTGGATCGCTTCTTTTCACGCCTTCCAATGGTCGGAGCGGAACAAACGGACGCTCTTCGGAGCCCTTGGCCTAAGGGTCTCCTTTACGCCTCCCTCCTCTACCTATTCTTCCAGCTGTGATCCGCAAGCTTCTTCGGGAGCGAGCGGAGATCATCCTGGTGGCTCCTTATTGGCCCAGGAGACCTTGGTTCGCCGACCTGGTGAATCTTTCCCTGGAGGAACCTTGGCGGATTCCACCAGAACAGATATCTCTCAGTCAAGGGACCATTCTACTTCAGGATCCACAATGGCTCCAATTAGCCGCCTGGCGCTTGAGCGCTCGATCTTAGCTAGGGAACTCTGCTCACCAGGGGTCATCACAGTCATTCAAGCATCGCGCCGTTCATCCACCGCATCTATGAGACCACGTGGAGAAATTTCCAATCTTGGTGTTCCGGACAATTGTCGCTCACGGAGCTGACTATTCCAATTATCTTGGACTACTTGTTAGATGGTTTAAATAAGGGATTCGTTCCTAACACGCTGCGCAGACAGGTTGCAGCTTTGTCCACGGTCCTCAGTTGTGACTCAGCAGAATCACTAGGTCATCACCAATTGATACGGTCGTTCTTTAAGGAGGCCGCCATCAACAAACCCCCTGTGGTGCACAGGTACCCATTGTGGGAACTGCCACGTGTGCTTCGTGCCATCGCTAAATCTCCTTTTGAGCCACTCAGGACGTGTGACATTCGTGTACTGTCCCACAAGGTGGCATTCCTGGTGGCAATTACGTCTGCACGTCGCATTTCGGAATTGGCGGCACTGTCAATACGGGATGATCCGTGTGTTTTCAACAAG